GCCAATATGAGCATCCAGGTTCCGTTATTGGTTATTGACCAGAGATGTGTCTCGGTCATGTCTACATAGTTCTCGAACCCGTAGGGTCCGCATGCTTAACGTTCGATGACTATTTAGTATTATATGAGTTATATAATTTGGTGACTGAATGTTGTTCGAAGTGCCAGATGAGATAAGAGACATGACTATTTAGTTCGGTTTGTTATTTTTTCCTTCTATTTTTTTATCCTTTTCTGTTTCTTCTTTTTGTTTTCTTTAATGCGCGCTTTTTTATGAGGTAAATATACCAGAAGTCATAGAACTTGCATCGGACGGTCAGTTTGGTGCATAAACTTGTAAAATACGTGTTTCTAGTCATCTAACTTGTCGTTTCGTTCATATACGATGCTTCCCACTCTATCCGGTCGTATCCATACGTGCGCCAACGTATGGAAGGGTGTGCTCAAAAGGGGAAGCCACGGTTCGAAAATATGATCTTAAAAGCTCGCCTCGTGTACAAGTGCCGACCATCTGGCCATAATGACACTTGACAACATAAAATAAATTTATCTTTTGTACTATATAGTTTCAAATTTATGCATCCCAATGCCAGCAAATTATGTATAATTTTGTTTTGCACATATAGATGTTTTTGCACATAGTACCTAACTTTAAACATATATTCCTGAAAAAATAGTGCAGAATGAATGAACGTAAATTATTTTGGACAAACCAACAAAATTTTGATTTGAATTTCAATAATTTTAAATTTAAAATCTAGATAAAAGGAAATATAGTATAGAATGAATGTATGTAAATTCTTTTGAGAAAATCAACAAAACTTTTGTTTGAATACGAATAATTTAAAATTTAAATATTTATATAAAAGGAAACATAGTGCAGAATGAATGTACATAATTTAAAATTTGAAAATCAAGATAAAGAAAAGTATAGGTCAAAATAAATGTGTCTATTTTTTAGGACAAATCAATGAAATTTTTGTTTGAATGTGAATTATGTAGATAAAGGAAAATATACTTCAGAATGAATGTATCCAAATTTCCTTTGGAGTGCGCCCTCAAGCCTGAGGTCTGATTTTTTTCTTCCATAATAGTAGTCCTACTAACTTCGGTTTTAGTAATGAAAAAGTTTGGACAAATCAATGTAAATTTTGTTTGAATTCAAATAATTTTAAATTTAAAAATCTTGATAAAAGAAAATATAGTTCTTTTTTTTACACTAAAGAAAATATAGTTCAGAATGTGTACTTTTTCACTTGGATATACCTTAGTAGCCTCAAATAAACATGAAGTAACATCAGTTACGTTGGTTAGAACGCCCGCTTTATTGGAACGGGTTGCCGGTTCGAAGCAGGGATTACCTTTTCTACGTTTTGATTTGACTTTAATTTGTATGGTCTGGTTCCATAAAGCTATTTTTTTTGGCTGAAACAAACTTCAGTGGTGGCTATCTATGCGGGGCGAACCGCGGCCAGTCGTGGTTCGAATCCCACCGCGCGCAACAACGTTTTTAGTTTTATTTGAGAATTTTTCTGTGTAAATAAATAAAATGCAAGGGTAATATCTGAAGAAAAAAACAGTATGCGCGGATGACCACCACCTCAGCCATTGACAATGGGCCCCGCCACGTTGGCACGCGTAAGGATACGGCCGGATATGATAGAGAGCACCGTATATGAACGAGAGGACAAGTTAGATGACCAGAAACACGTATTTTGCAAGTTTATGCACTAAACTGACCGTCATGTGCAAGTTATATGACTTGCAGTGTATTTACTTCTTTTTTAATAATTCGTGAACTTTTTTTCGAAATTGATAAACTTTTTCAAATACATGAACTCTATTCAGATTTGATCAACTTTTTTCAAATTTGAAGAACTCTGTTCAACTTTGATGCACTTTTCTTTACAATCTGATGAATGTTTTTTCAAAATTGATGATTTTTTTTTCAAATTGGATGAACTCCATTTCAAATCCGATGATTTTTTTTGAAAAGTTGATGAACCTTTTTAAAATTCGATGACCTTTTCCAAAATTCAGTGAACTTTTTTCAAATTTGGTGAACTTTTCTCAAAATCGATGAACTCTTTTTGAATTTCATGAACTATTTTTTTAGAATTGGATGAACGTTTTTAAAATTGATGAACTTTCTTAAAATTTGATGAACTTTCTTAATATTCGATGAACTTTTGCCAAATTTGATGAACTTTTTTCAAAACCGATGAACTTTTTTCAAAATGGAAGAATTTTTTTGCAAAACTGGTGAACTTTTTTAAAAATTGATGAACTATTTTCCAAAATTCCCGAACATTTTCCCAAATTGGATGAATTTTTTCCGAAATTGATGAACTTGTTTATAAATTTTGTGAACTTTTTGAGAATCTATGAGATATTTTCAGAATAGATTAACTTTTAAAAAAACAATGACGTTTTTTTCAGAATTCGTGAACTTTTTCTCAAATTCGTGAACTTTTCTCAAATTGACGAACCTTTTTCTCTTTGTACGAATGTTTTGAAATTTATGAACTTTCTTCAAGTTCATTTTTTTATTGTGTATGCTTTTTTTATTTATATCGTAAAATAATATGCATAACAAACTGGGTATATATTGCTCCTACATGCTAATGTTGTATTAAGAGAAGTCAAATAGAGTATTTTCCTCATAGTGGACAAGAAAGAGTAGGCGTCCTAGTGGTTATTGCCTAAAAGGTGTGAAGTTAGCAGGTAGGGATCGAATCCTGCTGCGAGCGCCAGTTGCGATAAGTAGCGCCGAAAGCACCGAACAAGAGCTCCCAACCACTAATTCTCAAAAAAAAGGAGCTCCCAACCACTTCTGTAGAGATCAGAGAGGAAAAACTGGACTGGGCCATAATGCAATGCAACAGAAAGAATGGACAGAAAGGCTAAGGCCAGGGGAATTCTCTGTACGCCGCTTACTGCGGCAAGTAGTCGCGGCTTCGCACGGAGCGCGGCTTATCCTGGGCCAACTCATTTACGGTAGTTTCGTTTCGCGAGATAAAAAACCGCAAACCTTAAAACCAGTTTTGCACCACCTCCTATAGACGTACAGGTCACGCCAGGCACCACGACTTGAAACAAGTTTGCGGAATAACAACGCTAAACCTAAAGAACAAACAGCGGAGACAAAACTTAAAACCAGTTTGCGGAATTCCCAAAAAATTATTTGTTCCTTCTGCTAGTTTTTTCGGGTTTTCTTCACTGTCCTTTTCTGTTCTTTCTTTTTTCTCGTTTTCTTTATTTTTATTTTCTTTATTGATATTACTTTACTTTTTCTTTTTAAGCTTTTCGAAAAGTTCAAATATTATTCAGAATTTTGAAAAATGTTCTTGTGGTCAAAATTTGTTCAATTTTTGAAATAATGTTCACATTTTCAAAATTTTGTTCACAATTTCAAAAAACGTTCCTGTTTTCACATTTTTTGTTAAAATTTGAAAAAGTTTAAATTTTGTTCACATTTTCAAAATGTTGTTCACAATTTCCAATAATGTTTGGAAATGTAAAATCTGTTCATATCTTCAAAAAAAAAATGGAGTTTTGTTCATGTTCTAAAGAATGTTCGAAATTTTATAATTTTGTTCATCTTTTCGAAAATTGTTCGCAATGTTAAAAATATATTCGGAATTTCCAAAGAAAATCATGTCGAAAAATGTTGGAGTTTCAAAATTTTGTTCGTATTTTCAAAAAGTGTTCACATTTTCATAAAAAATGTTCTGAATTTTAAATTTTGTTTTTATTGTGCAAAAGAATTTATTTCATATTTTGTTTATTTTCAAAACAAAGTTTTGAATTTATAAATTTGTTTGTGTTTTAAAAAAAGTTTGGAGGTTTAAAATTCATATGTTTTCCTGAAATTTGTTCGAATTTTCAAATTTTGTTCAGAATTTCAAAAAAAAAATCTCGTTTTTCAAATTTTGTTCCCATTTTTTTAAATATTGTTTCGTGGTTTCAAAAAATTACTCGCATTTTCAAAAGAAATTGGAATTTAATAAATTTTATCTGTTTCTTAATTTCTTTTGAGTAATGTTGAGTTGCGTTGCTTCTCTTTTGTTACAGTCAGTCAGCTCGACTGGCAGGATTCTCCGTCCTCTACAGCAGCTCTCCGGATCGAATCCGGCTCGCACTTATTTTTCTCAGAGTTTTTGCGCCCGACCATACGGTAAGGGTTTGAACCCAATGGCCGGCCCAATCGGGCGAGGTCTGTGCGAACTGGGGACTATTTGCGGCAAATAGGATCTCCCAAGGCCAGGTCCATAGCTGCGGACGGACGATATGGTGTCCCAGCCCATGGGGAATTGCGGCTTCTTTCGGCTGTTCCACCTGGGCTGAGCTGGGCCGGGCTGGGCTGTGCTACCCTGAAAGTAATGAGCGCCAAGTAATGTATGTATTCCTCGTGCGTTCCATGCAACAAATGGATAAAATATGAGATGATGAATCATTGTAATAGTTTTATTTCTTGTTCTTTTATCAACTTTAATTTTGAGACTCATAATCTCATCAAGTTTACTTGTAACCCAGGCGTAGGTAGACATGTTTGGTTGGGCAATATTCATGACCCAAACCTTGGACCTATATATGACCTTTGTTTTGGATGAAAAAAGATGGCGGCAATTCTGAAAAAGAAAAAGGAAAAAAACTAATGGATAGAATTGATTTCCTGTCAAGCATACAACGTTGGTTCCTAATAAATAAAAAAGAAGAAGAAGAAAAGAAGAGCATCGAGTGTGTGTCCCATACATCACATGGCAGGCACCGAATATTGATCGATCGTGATCCGCAGGCTTTAAGGAAAAGATTTACTGCATTGTTGTAAATCATTTTTTTCTCCCTCGATCGCGATCAAATAAATCATGCATGTTGAAAAACCAACATCAACATGCTCTGTGTTCCCAGCAGCAATTTCTTCAATTTATTCAATTCACCAATCAATTCAACGAGGGAACACATACATCATCGACTTGGAGGATGGAGCGATTGCTAGGGCTATGGCTTGCAGTAGCATCCCCTGGCGGTGGCGACGTAGACGCAGCGGCCGCCGCCGCAGCCGTTGTAGTGGCAGGCGTCGCTGCAGGCGCGGTTCTGGGCCGCGTCCGCCGGGTCGCACAGCGCCTCCACGAACGTCTTGCCGCACCCGTGGTCCGACGCGTAGTCACCCACCCACGCACACCCTAATAATTTTTATTAAGCAAAAAAAATGGTCAATGCAAGAAAATACAGAAGCATGCATCATCATCATCAATCAACATGCCCGCCGCCGCCGCCGCCAAGGTTTTACTTACTGGTAACCGTGGCGAGAGAGGCCACGAGGAGGAGGAGGAGCACGCCGGGGACGTCGCGCGCCGCCGCCGCCTTGTACCCGCACGCCATTGGATTGCTTAGTTTGGAGATGGGTCGATCGAGATTACTAGGGGCCGGAGAGGGAGGCTGCCGTGATCTGACACCAACCGATCGAGATTACTTGGCTAGCAAATCCAAGTTCGGCCTCTCATCTCGTGTTGATCAATCACAACAAGGGGATGATGAGATGAGGGAGACCTTTCATGTTGATCTGTTTATGGGCGAATTAATTCCTTCCAAAAATAACCTATATATTATTATTGCAAGCAGTAATTAGTAGCCTATTATATGTTGCGATCGAGGCCAATCCTTCCTTGGGTCGTCCTCTATAAGTTCTTGCCCAACTTACTAAAACCTGGGACACATGGCACCGACAGCAGTATATATATATATATATATATATATATATATATATATATATATATGAAAATGGTTGTGTACTTGTGAGAGTACGTACTCTCGCTTCTTATATACCACATATATATACCTAAGAAAAAAAGCTGGTGGCATCAACACCCATTTTATGTTAACTTCAAAAAAAACACTCATTTTATGTTTGCACAATTCATACATACACTACATTGCATTGTTCCTTCTCAAACCACCCACCTCGCTCCTCCCGTGCCGATGGAAACAAGCAAAACCCATTGGCGCCTCCATTTGCCGGCGTTGTCTCCCGTGGCTCTCTCCTTCCCGTTCAACGAACCCCGTGTGTGAGGGGTGTATTAGCGGTAGTTTTAGGAGTAGCTTGCTTATTAGGTTTCGGCTGGCCATAGCTTCATCTCTAGTGGTGGCGACCACAGGGGTAAATTAAGTGCCTCTGTGGTCGATCTGGTAGGTTTGTTGGTTAAGCATGGTTCATGCGGCTATGGCGACTACTTTGTGAAGTCTCGTTGTGCTTCGACTACACCGTTCCAATGTGTTTGCTCTGGTGCTATTTGTTTGGACCGCTGGCCTTGTTCCGGATGCAGTAGAGTTTATTGGTGTTGTCTTCTTCAAGCGCGATGGTAGTGACCTGATCTGGAAGATTACCGGCTTGGCATGTGTTTGGCGGTTGCAGGAAGGTGACTACAGGTCTAATCTCCAACCGTGTCGAGTGACGATGGAGAAGTCGCGGACCTGGGAGCGTGGGAAAGATCTCCGCCCGAGAAGCCACAAAGTCTCAGGCCACACGACGACCTACTTCATCAACTCACGATGCAACTCTGCTTGCTATAGCGCTTCTTCCCTCCTGCACGAGATGGTGGTGTATCTCCTATATATGTCTGGCAACGTCTCATTTATGCCAGTGGCTTTTGGTTCTTTAACTTTTAGGCCCTGTGGACTTCCTTGTTTTTTACCTTATTTTAGCAAAAGTCTTGTGCCAATTGTGCTTCTAGTTGCCTCTAGATCGTGGTTACATGTGGGTATGTACTCCTATTATTGAACGAATGACATGGGGTTCATCTTACAAAAAGCATTTACTTCCCTGTGTAGTTTGAATACATTTAATTTTTAATGTTCAATTTTTTTTAAAAAAAGTATGCTCCTAACTCTAAAAGCTGTTCATGGATTTGAAATAAGAAAAAAACTAAAAAGAAAAAGACAAAGAAAAACCATCAAACCTGCACAAAAGAGGAAAATTATAAAAAAAATCTCCCAAAACCAGGGGCCGCTGAGCGTGTGGGCGGGCCCATGTCGCTCAACCGTGGGCATTATAGAGATTATCCATGGCAAGAGGAGCGAAGAACAAGGAATTCCTTATATTAGAGCGGGAGCTACATCTAGCATACACTGAGGCGTATTCTGCCTTGAGAGGTCCTATCTGCCGCTCTCTGCGGCAGAATGTCGAGCGAGGTTCAAGCCTAAGAGCACATGCTTCAAACAAGTATGGCTAGCCAGTTGAGTCACAGACCCACCTGGTTGATAATGCCGCGCAAAGTCTTAAGAACCAAACTCAGCGCATATCCGAACGTTTCAAAAAAATTGTGCGCAAACAGTTCTTTTGAGAAAAAAAAGTGAAGGCCGTCTGAAACAGCGAACACTTTTCGAAATTTTGAATAAAATTAAAAAAAATCAAATATTTCGATGGATGCAAGCAAATTTTGAAAAATCTGAACATTTTTTAAATACCCCCAAAATAGAAAGCAAGAACATTTTTCAAATTTCAAATCAATATTTGGATACAAGAACAGTTTATAAAATTGGGAACATTTTTTGAAACTCCCGAACAAAATTTCCAAACATGAATAATTTTTTAATTTGCGCACATCTTTTAAAACTCCCGAACAAAAATTAAAACGTGAACATTGAAAAACAGGAAAAAAGAAAGAAAGAAAGAAACAGAAAAGAAAAATGAAAAAATAAACAGGAAAAACCCATTGAAAAACCGGTTCAAGAACCTTCTGGAAGGTTCCCAAAACCGGCAGGAATCTTCCAGAAAGTACCCAAAACCGGCACTGTAGCGCGTGCGCTATCTCGTAGTTGCGCCGGCCCGTCTTGAAACAGCGACAACTTGACGCAATGAGCGTTCGTCAAGAAATTCCTTCCGCCTTGTGTCCCCGGGCCTTTTCCTTTTAGCGGGCCAACCTATTAAAACTGTTTTGAGAATGTTCTATAGATCTGTTGGACCGGTTTAGAATTTTTTTATGTGTTATTTTTTAGTTTTCTGTGTGTCTTTTATCCATTTTTCCGGGTCTCTTCTATTTTTCCTTTTCTTTTCTACATCGGTTTTCAGCCGCTTTATGTGTCAGTATTCAGTGGTTTTTTTCTTCTTTGTCTTTTCCTTTCTTAACAATACATGCCTATTTTGTTTTCATACACCCTATACTTTTTTTATACTTCTAGAACATTATTTTCATTTCACATTAAATATTTTTCAAATAAAAAAAATCATTTTTTTCATATATCTGTTTCAAATTATATTTTGAATACACATTGAGAAAATACAAATACGTGTCAAACATTTTCTCGAATGGTACAAAACATTTTCAGAAGCAACACAAACCATCTTGTTATATTGCACAAACATTATTAGAAAAATGTCGCAAATATTTTTTGAAACATGTGAATATTTTTCTTAAATGACATGTACATTTTTTGAAAGGTGCGAAGTTTTTTGAGTTGTCTGGCTCATGCACACATATTTTTTGAAACATCCAAACATTTTTTAAATCTGACAAACAATATTTTAAATACTACTAGATACGTGCCCGTGCGTTGCCACGTTGGCTCATGCATGTAAGTAATTTAATGTGATTAAGCGGCATACCAGAAGGTGCGATGAAATATGACGTGGAATTGAGTGGTGTAATTCCACGTTATTGCAAAAAGTAAGTTAATTAAGGTGGAGTTGATGTAGTTCTACAAAAGATAAGTAAATGAATGTGATTTAGTGGCGTACTTGGAATATGCAGCCAAATATGGTGTGGTGGAAAAAAACCGGCTAAATGAAAAGAAAAATCAATGGAGGAACCCGTTGTGGGAGGGGCGAAACGGTTGACGAAGAGTTCTGCCTAGCAGAAAAAGAAACGCTACTTAAAAAGAGATAAACACTTATTTAAAAGTTTTTCGAACACAATTTTTACACTGCTTTTAAAAAATTTCTAATATGCAGTGAACAATTTTTAAAATTTAAATAAAATTTCCATTTTAGAAACTTAACTAAAGGAAATAAAAAATAAAAATGATGAAGGAGAAAAACCAATGCCCGTCCTTCGCTGGGCCGGCTCCAATCACGATTTTTTTTAATCCGCGAACATTTTTAAAAATCATGAACATTTTTTGAATTCACAAACATTTTATGATTCCTTGAATCTTTTTTGAAAATTTGCAATGTTTTTAAATCCTGAATTATTGTCAAGAGAAAAAAGGAATTGAAAAAAACGAAATGAAAAAACAGGGGCCGTCCCGCCACACAGATGGGCACACCGTAAAATAAGAAAGAAAAGGAATATAAAAAATGCAAAAAAAAACGAAATAAATCCTGAATTTTTTTCTCACGTGAAGCAGACCATGTGAAAAGGACAGTTGCATAGTCTTTTCTCATTCCAAAAACTGAAGCAATTGTGCAACAATGCACAGGTTAATGAAGTTTAATTGTTGTTGAGCTTAATGAAGTTGTAGCTCACGGCGCCGGTTCGGAATGGGTTCGAAAACCTGGCAGTGGGACGTCGGAAACAGAGTCCAAGAGAGAATACTACCACAACCCCGAATAAAAATCAGATGAATGTTTCCTGGGACACAGAATGAACTAGAAAAAAAAACATACACACGTGTCAACCAGACATTGGACAATAAATAATGCGACCTTAACTGAAATGAAAATCAGACGTCTAATTTTTTTTTTCGAGAAAGTAAGTCAGACGTCTAATGATTAGACTGTCACATACAAAAACACAAGAAAGTTGCACTGTGCTGCTGCCTATATGCAAATCAAAAAAGTAAGGCTTCAGACCAGCAACAGAAAAGAGAAGAGAAGGAATAAAACTGGAAAAAGAAAAGTAGAGATAATATTTAAATATTCCGAAGAAAAAAAAATGAAAAAAGTGCATGAATTTTGAAAAGCATTCATGGAGATGGAGAGCTTGACCAATCAACTGAACATGCGCAATCACTGAATCACATCGATCACCTTCTACTTCTCTGTTGCTCAATCACACACCAGGATTCTTTGACATTAAACAGCAAACCACTGCTGGCAACACGAAACGAAACAAAACTAACCGAGAGAAGCAATGGACCGGAGCAAATCAAATCAGGGGGAGATCAACCCAAAGACAAGGAAGAGAGCCCACTCAAATTACTTACACAAATCCTTTTCGAATCGTCAAGCAAACCCCCCTTCAAGTTTCCTGAATGAGTTGCCCCAAATGAGCACAAACTAAACTGGCCAAGGGAGGAGTACATACATGCTAGCAAGCCAACCTCTGAACAGAAAGAGCTCTTTTCTTTTCCATGATCGAACAAAAGAGTTTTGACTCTGAATGAATGTTACCAAATGGAAATGGATGGAGTTCAACAGAAAGAGTTGTCACTCTGAATGAATGAAT